ACCTTGGCCTGCCTAAAGAACCCTACCTACAGGCAGTGGCAGCTGGGTTAGGCCCAAGCATATGCTTTGAATGTCCAGCAGCGGAGTGCAGAAATGTAGTCCAGAACAGTGGCTCTGCCCAGCTGAGAGGCCTTGTGGTGCAGTGGTTATAGGCAGAGCTGGAACCACAGTCAGGTCACAATGCTTGAGACTCAGTGTTCCACTAAGACCGGGATAAATGGCACTTACTGCAGGCAGCTGTCAGGAGCGTTAAAGTTGATAGGATCAGCTCTGAAGAGCACCTGGCACGAGGTAGCCTTATGGCTGCAGGGCCAGCTAATAAAAGGGATTCCCAGAAACACGAAGGACTATACTATACCTGGCCAACAATGCGGAGCTGCCTGAGACCGTAAGCTTTCTTTCTCCCTCCTCTGCTCATTGCCCCAACACCTTTTCACCCCTATGCCTCGTGTTCCTTCTTTCCTCAGCATTTGGATAATCACCATTCAATTTAAAGCACTCAGCAAATCAGGATCAGAACATGGGGCTCCCCACCTCCCTTTGCTTTTGGGAAAGAAGAGACCGTCTCTTTTTACTCCGGTCACTTGTGGGGATGACCAGCCAGCCTGTGTAGTTTCCCGTCTAGCGAATTTTCTCAAAGATATTGCAGGCTAGTTACAGTTCCTCAGTCACAGACTGTTTCTCACTGGCCTGGCTCAAACCCTGCTATAAAACCTTGGTCATTAACACAACAAAACACAAAATTTGTAGGCTTCTTCCAAACCTTTTTGTAACCTAAGAGCCTCTTTAGCCGCATCCCTTACCACTCCATCTCACCTTTCCAGAACTTCTCACAAGACCCTTTAAGAGAAGTCAAATAACACCAGATACAATGGGGCTTTAGAAAGTCACTTGGCTTATCTTTCAAGGAAAATGATTGTCACTATTTTTCTTAAGATTGTGTTGTGTGACATGATACTCAGTACCCACCAACATGTCTTCCTACTTACTCCTCTGGATTCTTGTCCTATGCTGGGAAATATTGTCTTCTTGACACTGGCTTGCCACGTACTTAAAACAAAAACCCCAGACAAAATCATCTTTATAGACTTCATTCACTTAAATCTCACCCTTGAGTTCAAGGAAATATCCCAGTCCAGTGTTTTCCTGTGTCCCCCAAAGTGGACCCTGAATAAACCGTCACTCAGCACTTTTTCCTGGCGCATACTATCTTGTTCCATCTCTGTAGGCCTGCCTGATGTGGACATTTCAGAATAATTTCGAGATGGCCAGTGTCCCTGGCTTCAGTTTCCTTTCTGTGGCGCAGTATCCATTCATTCAAGGAAACTGACAGGCTTACCTCATCACTGTCCTGGCACCTGTGTAACAGGAACAAGAAAGCATGAGGACAGGGCGAGCGAACAGGGACTTTCTAAATCCTCTGGTGCGCTCATACTGTCCCAGCATATGAGGAACAAGGAAACCAACACTTAGCAAGCATTACTTAAAAGGTTTTTTTTTTTATTTAACTTTAATTTCTGAGGTAAAATACTTTTTTCTTTCGACTTCCATAACAAAATACAGAGCTATCAGATACCCCTGGAAAAAAATATGTATATTATACATATATTTCTATAACATTACATTATATATATAATATATATGCAAAAATTTGAAGACTTTATAGAAAGCAGAACATCTAAAAGGCACTGCACAATGGAGTTAAGATTACTTACATTTTATGTACATATACACATGTTATTCTGCTTAAGCGGAGAACTAGTGAAATCATCTTTCACATGTGAATGTCTCATTCACAAATCCCTGCATCACAATTTTATAACTCTGAAAACACCTAAATATTTTAAACAAATCAACTTTTTTCCCCCAAGAAGAAACTAAAAAATGGAACAGTTCCTTAAAGATTGAGTTTTATGTTCCATCACTGTTTATAAAAAAGCACAAATATAATTACAGAATAAATAAATTAAAAAAAAAACAAGGGACAAAAAGCCAACTGACTCCAACTACTTGGTGAGAAGTGATATATTTCAACTTTTAATGCTTCTGGAAGTTTCTTGGCCCATGGGCCACTAGGGTCCAGCAATTTCATTATTAGTGAGTTGGGTTTAATGCAACAGTTTGAACACTAGGGGGAAAAGACTTTGTGAACTGTTCACTCCTATTCATTCTTTAGAAAAAAGGGTCACGCTCAGCAAGGCTGGATGCCCTTAAGAGGTCTCTACTATTTCTTTTTTTGCAGTTACAAAAAGCAAACTTTATATGAGTAAGTTCTTGATTAATGAAACTTTAATAGATTCATATTTGCAAATTTTTAACATTTGGCACAGCAAAATTTGGAATGGGGGAGAGGAAATAGGTCTGTGCTCCTCCCTTTTCCACCTGCTGTTGGACAGTGATGAGATGCTCACAGAACAGAAAAGCCTGGCTGTGTACCAGACTGGTGACAGGTGCTGCCAGGAGTGGAGGGGCTGGAGCGGAAAGGGGAAAGCAGAATTCTCACTCTGCCCCAGAAAATATCAAACCTCCACATTCCCTGGCTTACTTCCTGAGCAGGCCCAAGTTCGGCTCTGTGTAAGACCCGTTCCCCACCGTCCCCTCCCCCCACCAGCCCCAGCGTGCAGTGCTAAATCAACCCACAATTTACTGGTGGAATGGCAATCAAAGGAAACAGTAAGACAGCAAACAATGTCTTAAAGCCAAAAACAATTTTTCATGGAGTTAAAGTTGAACATTTTTTGAGTGTGTTTTTTCAAGTGAAAAAGCAGTGACTTTTTGTTCAAACAAGCAGCATCTAGGAATGAATCTGGCACTTGGGTTCTAGGGGGTTTTATAGGTATGCATCACGGATTTCTCTCCCTCTTTATTTTAAAGGCCTCGTGTATCTATTCCTGAGTTCAGACCGATATCTGCTGGCCTTCCCCGTTAGTGGACAGTGGGTGGCCAGCTAGCCTCCCTGGTTAAATCAGGCAATGCCAAGCAGAGAGCCGCCCCCTCCACCTGCCAGGCTTGCTTTCTGATTCAGAGGTAAGTCAAGGTACAGAGAAAGAAGCTGACAAAACACATAACCACCAAAGGCAGTCCCACTGGGGTCCCTTTGTAGCCTAACCAGAGCCTGAGTTGCTAGGGACCATTTTCCCAATCCCTTTCCTGGGGAAAGACAAGTCACTCATAGAATTCAAATCAAGCAGGGAGAAGACACTCGCCAAGAAACAGTATGATGGACTCAAGTTATCCCAGGCCATCCAATGTCTGTCACTTGTCTTACCTTTGTTGAGACCCCTCTTATGAGCCTAAAGAGCCATCCCTTCATAAAACTCAACCTTCAAATGTGACTTCATACATAGAGTTCACTTAAGCAAAGGTGGAATCAAGAATTCTTCAATTCCTAGACATCACCCCCAGGCCGCCTGCCCCTTCCTTATCCTCAAGACACGTGCAGCTTTCTTCTCACCCTGCTGCCAGGTGGATCTGAGCCAGCCAGGCATTTACACACACTACATGGGTAAACCTGTGAATACAGAGGGCTGGCTGCGGCTGCTTTCTCTGCCCCTGCCTCAGGCTCATTTGCTTCACATAAGATGAAGACTTTCCCACTCCTTTGAAATTTTGGAAGTCAATTTCCTGTGAAGAAACAATCCCTCATTGTAAACTGCAGTCTCATGCAGGACAGTCAATCTTAAGGGAGACTCCAAACAGCCTAGGTGCAATGGGTATGGCAAAAACAGGAACATCCCAGCAGGACACCAACTCTTGCATCCACCCCAGGCCTGTCAGTACCTGGTTGCGTTCTTTATCTTCCTTCCTCTCTTCCTCAGTCTCAGCAAACATCCACTTGTACCCCCAGCTACCTTCTGTGTTTCTAGGTGTCCTGTGTCCTTAATGCCTACAATCCTGGATTTCTGCTGCCCATCCCAGGAACGTCCAGAGGGAATGACTATGTATCAGCTAGAAATTTAACCATGTTTTAACATTCCTGAATTATCTGGAAAGTTGTCCATGTCCCTTTACAGGTTTCTGTTGACAGACCCGTATCATTTTAAAGTACGTTCGTAGTTAAGGCTTGACTTTAGAAAATGCTGAGGACCAGATATAATGCAAAGACATCTTCAACAACGTTATCACGCCTCTCGGTGATCTTGCTCACAGGCACACTTCGGTTTGGCTCCCCACACCCATGGAAAAGGAAAAGTGAAGACCACTTCTTCTGTTTTACTTTTAAAGGCATCGGGTTACTTCCTCTTGCCCTCTTCTTTCTTCCCTGAAAGAGTTTACCACTCCTCATGGCTTCTGAATAGGTGAAGTGGTGAAAAGTCCAAGGGTCTCATAGCAGGGCTTCCTGTCCCAACCCAGCAGGCGGGAGGTGGCCGGCTCCTGCGCCTTCCCAGCCCCGCTCTGAGCGGCAGCAGGCTCATGTTTCCTGAAAACATTTTGTAAAAGGAAAAGAAAAACGCCAAACAACAGAACACCAACCCTCCCAACCCAAAGCAACATTTGAACATCCTCCCACCCCAGTAAGACTGAGACTGAGATTTATCTTATTCCTCTCCGAAATAATTATAAAGAAACATTTCAGGCAAATACTTAGTATTAATGGTCTCTCATGGCCTAATCCCACAGCATGACCTTTCCCCTTATATGCATCTCTCAGAGTAAAATAAATTCATGAATGGCTTTCCACAGATAAAATACAATAAAAAAGAAGTCTGGAACCTGAACTATCATGGGACCAAGAAGTACTTTGGCCCTTTAGGAGTTTCCTTGTCACAAAGTGTAAGCCTCAACAGGAAACAGAGGCCCATCCTCCTCTCAGTTCAATACCATCTCTGTGTTCTATCCATCAGGAAAAAAAAAGTGTTCATATCCCACCTAATTTACAACAGAAGATACCCCATCCCATCCCCAAAACATAAAAATACAAGTCTATGCTCCTAGAATGATCAAACCAGTCTAATACCCTCCCACCCCTCCCCCCGAATCTTGCTACATAAATACATGTATGTATTGATTATAGTATAAACAGCTCCCAATCCACTTGCAGTTCTAAGCATCAGCAGCTGCTGTCGCCAGGCCCTGAGGGCCTGACCCGCTCCAGAGGAACTTGCCATTCTTATTCAGCTCTCGAGCCTCAGGGTCGTCATTCCAGCGCCGCTTCAACCGGAGCTTGGGGGGCATCAGAGCATCTTCTTTCTTCTCAGGTGCACCAGCCTCTTTGCCAGGTCTGTCCTCACTGTCTTCAGTCACCTCCAGGGGCTCCTCGCTTGGGGTGCTACTGGGTGCTGAGGGCCAGATGGGTGGCACAACAGGGTGGGCAAAGACAGTGCTCTTTTCCTCTTCAATAGTCCTGCTTGGTACAGTGCCCTCTTCTTGAGAATGCTCCTCCTTCCCCTGGCTAGCGTGCCTGAGGTTCTCTGGATCCTTTTCAGAGGTGGGTTCCACCTTAATTCGCGGGGGAACGGGAGTCATGGTGGGTGCAGGGACAGGCACTGAATCCTCGCTGCTCTCAACCCTCTCCCGGTTCTTTCGCCCAACTGGTGGAGGCTGTAACTTGATAGAAAACTGAGTTGACTCCTCAGGATGCATTTGGCATTGCAGTGGAGGAACCATGAGCCCCGGGTAACGGGGAAAAGTCCGGGGGCTCAGGTGGTAGTTAAACACGGAGCAGGCTTGAGAATGAAGGTAGTGTTTCATTTCCTCAGGGTTGAAGGAGAAGCAACTGCTGCTAGTAAAGGGACTCAGGCCTGGTGAGGGGCTGTAGGAGAAGATGGTGGGAGTCAAGGAGAGGGCCGGTGAAATGGGGACATTAAGGACACCTCCACGGCCAGGGATTGGCGAGACGGCAAAAGGACTATGGGGGTCTGGGTACATCCCTGGCCTAGTGAACAGAGGAAGCATTATGTCAGGCTTGCGTTTCTGGGGGCCAATCCCTCCTCCAACAGCATTCCGGGAGGACATGAGATCCACCCCCCTGCGCCAGTCAGTGGCCGAGCCATCCTCCAGCTCCGAAAGCTCCACCTTTCGGTCGGTGCCATCACTTGATTCCTGGCCAGAGGCAGCTAGGGAGCTGGCTGAGAACCGTCCTGGCTGCCCGTTGCCAGTTGGAGAATGGGTGTCCAGAGGTGGGAAATGGAACCTGGAAGAGGCTGTTGGCACTGGTGGTGCACTTTGAGGAACCACACCTACGATGATGGAAAAAATAAAAGGCTGTGTTGGTGGTCTGCTCATCATTATTGTTACTTTATGCAAACTAAGTATGAAATGTCTTGGAGCAACATAAATTAAACATTCCAATTAGGCTGAACACTACACACTCTAATCCTCTATGTTCCAGTAACTCCTGTTTGGGGTCTATTTTATTTAGCTTTACAGGACTCTTCACTATCTGAGGTATCACTGATTTATTCATCTATATTTCAAAACATAAATTTTAATAATGGGGACTTTTTATTAACTACAACCAGATCCCAGCAATTTAGGGCTTAACAATTAGCAGGTGTTCAATAAATATCAGGTGAACGAATTCATACAAAAGCCTGCTCCTCTAACTCAAGCAGCATATATACAACAAATGAGTTTCTAGCTTTGTATGTGGTCTTATTTTTATGCTTTGATCATAGTATAAAGCATGTAAACCAAGTAAAAAACCTAACTGTAAATAATGCACGTCTAAAGCAAAGCACCAAAGTCCAGAAGACCCTGCAGCTCTTACACACAGACATGAATAAGAACACATTTTAATGGAAAGATAAACAAAAAAGTCAGGAAGTTCATATGGCGTATTGTTTGTCATTTTTGATGGAAATGGTAATTCTCTTCAAATCTACAGTTCCCTAACAAATTCTATATGAAGTGCTCCACTGTCACCTTGCTTTGAAGCACTAAGGATGCTGGGGGAAGATTCAGGACCTACTACTCTTCTCTCCTAAGTTTGCTAGCTAAAATCTGAAGTTCTAAGTGGGAACTAACACTGCTAACTTCACAGGCTTACAGGCTCTCCACTCTTCCCCAGGGTTCTTCTACGGAGAGAAAGGCAGGCCACCTGAGGCAAGGGTGGCTTCTATCCTGATGAGGTCAGGAGGGCTCTTTATACTGAGACAATGGTAAAAAGGAAGAGGGAAAACAAACAAACAAAAACAAACAAGCAAAGCCCACAAACAACAAAACAGGTTTTGTTTTGTAAAATCAGTTATGTTATCCAGGAAACAAAAAAGTTATCTAAGAATGATGTGGGGGGCCGGAGACACAGTACAGCAAGTTAAGCTACTGCCCTCAGCACCAGCTGCTCCACTTTCCATCCAGCAGCTCCCCGCTAATGCTCCTGAGGAAGCAGGGTCTCCCTCTTTCTGCAATTCTGCCTGACCAATAAAAAAGGAAAACCTTAAACAGAAATGTGGTTAGGAGCTGTTTCCAATCAGCTGCCATCTTCTACCCTAGGGAGTGATAGTTCTTGGTTAAGACTCTGGGAGTGGGTTGGTATGGGTGAGACTGCAGCTTTCCAAGTACCTAACTGAGCAACAGTGTCAGAGCAGGGCTTCCCAAGACAGTTCTGTAAGACTTTTCTAAGGCCGATTCAAATCTAAACATCAGAAAAATCAGACGGATGATTTCTATCTAGTCTGAGTAGAATCAAAGAGAATCCCAGCCAAAATCATCTCTTCGACCAGCCTGTTACAGTGGTTACAACTTTAGTCTTCTGGATTCTTCTAGAGCTTGATTTTTTTTTAGTAAGATACCCAAAAGCAAAAAACGTGTAAGTGCTTCAAAGGACAAAGTATAATGAGGATAGGAAAAACGGTCTTGGTCTAAATTTTAAAATGCTTGGTTACAGGCCTGCTGTGGTAGCCTCTTGGCTAAAATCTTCGCCTTGCATGCACCAGGATCCCATATGGGCACCAGTTCATATTCCGGCTGTTCCACTTCCCATCCAGCTCCCTGCTTGTGGCCCGGGAAAGCAGCAAAGGATGGCCCAATACCTTGGGATGCTGCTCCCACACAGGAGACCTGGTAGAAGCTCCTGGCTTTGGATAGGCTCAGCTCTGGCCATTGTGGCCACTTGGGGAGTGAACCAGTACATGGAAGATTTTTCTCTCTGTATCTCCTTTCCTCTGTATATTTGTCTTTCCAATAAAAATAAATTAAAAAAAAAAAATGGTTGGGTTTTGTAACTCTCCACCTCCAAAGCAATGGCATCCCATATAAGCACTGGTTTGTGTCCTGGTAGCTCCACTTCCCATACAGCTCCCTACTTGCGGCCTGAGAAAGCAGCAGAAGACAGCCCAAAGCTTTGGGCCCGTGTACCCACACAGAGTACCAGGAAGAAGCTCCCGGCTTCAGATCAGCTCAGCTCTAGTCAGCCATTTGAGGAGTGAACCAGTAGTTGGAAGATGTTTCTGTAAATTGACCTTTCCAACAAAAGTTAATTAAAAAAAATTTTTTTTTGGTTAAGGTTTCTTCCCTCCCTCTTTTTCAAACTGCAAGGAGAATGAAAACATCATACAAGGGAAGGTAAGATTAGTGCTAAGATGAGAAGCAACCAGAAGTAGCTAACAGTACTAACAGTAGCAACCAGTAGAAGCTAACAGAGTAGCTCCATTTTTCTGTGTTAAATGCTGACAGCAAACCTAGGATTTTGCTTGGAAGTTTGTTGTTAAATATAGAAGCTTGACTACTATCACTTCTGAAGACCACCTTCGGTAAAGTGACCATGAAATCTGGGTAATGGTGTGGGAAAACCTGGGTCTGAACCTCAGTTCTGCCACCTTCTATCTTATAGCAGTGTGTCTAACAAGTTAATTTATCACTACCTCGGGAACAACTGAAATAGCAAGATCGCTGTTTAATTCAAACCTCTGAACAATTTATCTCTGAGCATTTTGGTTTCCTTACCTATAAAGTAGATAATAGGAGCTATCCTAATGTCACCAGGATTGAAAGTCATTATTTGTAAAGTCTTTAGACTGGTACTGGTACACAGCAAAATGTATGTAGTTGTTAGATTTTACAAAAAAATCTTATGAAATAGTTCTGTTCCAAAAAACAAAGCTTAAGCAGGCATGTATTATTTGAGTACAAGTCATATGTTAGATAACACTGGTGGGGCATGTTAAATGTTCGGGGTGTCATAATGTCACCACAGTTATGGAGGAAAATGTCCTTGTCCCTAGGAGATGCATGCTGAAGTACATACGGGTGAAGTGCCATGGTGTCTGCAACTTAATCTCAAAAGATTTAAAAAGTATATATAAATAGAAAGAGATAAAGCAAATGTGGCAGCAATGTTGACCATTAACAACTCCAGATAAAGGTTATAAGCATGTTCACTGTTCTTTGTCCAAATTTTCTAAAGTAGGTATGAAGTTTTCTAAAATTAAAAACTTGGAAGAGGACATAGGCTGACAGGTCTTAAGTCCACCTCCTAGCCTCTAACGAGTTATCAATTTTATTAGTTTCTCCTATGAATCTGCAATATTATGTAAATAAAAATATTCATTCAGGGCTGGGCCATTTTGAAGTCAGGAGCCAAAAACAACATCTGGGTCTTCCACACTGGTGGCTGCGACCCAGTCCCTTGGGCTATCACCTGCTGCCTCCCAGGTTGTGCCATTAGAAGAAAGCTAAAGTTGAAGCAAAGTCTTCAAACTGAGGTAGTCCTGAACTGGGATGGAGGCTACCAAGTGGGATTTTAACTGCTAGGCCCAAAGGCCCCATCCCATAAAATGCTTTGAATGGTAACAATGAGATAGTGATAAGTGAAACACTTTCACTACTACCCAAATGTTAAGTACTCTGCCTAAACTGCTAACAGTGAGAACTGTGGGGAAGGGAAGAGCCTATTTGTCTTTTCACTTTGTAATCTTCTATTACTTATGTTACAATCAGTCAGGTCATGGCTTTAGTTTAAAAACACACAGACCAAAACAGCCCAACTGTACCAATCAACCTGCCCTGTAGCCACCAGATCACCCAGTGTCTAAATTCACACATCTCTACTTCTTAGGGCAACCTGTCATACCTCCCATTGTATTAAACCTATTATGCCTTACCTCTCTCGCTAAAGTGTTAAGTTCTTTGGGAGAAAGAAGTTCTCTATTTTTTTCTTTTCTTTATCTTTAGGGCTTAACATTATCTGTTGAGCAAATGAGTGAATTCCAATCTGGGAGAGGAATGTACTGCCTACTAAATAAGTTACATTAACAATAGACTCTCTAAGGAATTGTTTCCTGAGAAATGTTCAGGGGTAAAAGGAGCCAACACATCCTGGTTAGTCTGACTCTGCCATCCTCATCTTCATCATTTGTAAAATGTCAACATTCAGAGGACAGAAGTGTTGAATGAGGTAATTTACAAAACCACTAGACAAAAGTACCTGTAGTAATTAAATGTTCAAAATAAAGATTAAATTCCTCAGTCATCATAAAGTTAACCTGAGGCATTTAGCAACCTGAATTAAAGTTCTGTATAAACTAATGACTCTGGTTCTTTGGAGTTATCTGTATTCAGGATGTGAGCAACCAAGTAGTAAGCCTGAAACTAGGTTTTCCCCTGATTTTTTAAATTAAGATCTTCTGGTTGGTTAGGATTCACTTGCTTTTAGGCAGAGCAGGTGTCTATCAGGTCAGTACTGTTAGGTTTCCTGTCCAGAAAGAGCAGTGGAAAGCAACATTACTCCCAACGGCTGAAGAATTGCAGCTGTCCAAATGTCAGAACTTCTGGACTTTCAACAGACAAAAATAGGTCCAAACCAGATCAGGACCAACCAAGTACTATTAGGCTGGAGGGTACAAATGTCAATGCATCCTTCAAAGCTGCCTGTTTATCAACCTAGAGTCATGATTTCTTCAGGTACACAAGGAAGGGACAAGAGTGAAAAATAGAGGAAACAAGACTCCAGTGGCTCAAACAGGTCTGATTTCCTAATGCCTCTCCCTCAGGCACAAGGAAAGAAAACAGGTTGTAATTAGAGAGATGCATTCCAATACCATTTTTTTTTTTAAATGCATGCCCCAGGGACAGGAGGGAGTGGTTACAGGAGAGATGGAACTGTAATGATAGCAGAGTCAAGCTAAAACTGCCCTAACTTGTTGTGTGTAGTAATTACATATCCGCAATGGATCTCAGCACTGTATTCTCTCAGCCACACCTCCGCTCTAATTTTTCAGGTTTCTTCAAGCTTTTCCTTGAGAAGTTGTACTGCTGCAGAATCATCATCTGCCTTCTTCCCTCACAAAGGGTTTCTTTACACAGACAGTACTAGAAAATAATGAAACACAATCTATTTTCCTCAGCAGGGTTATGATTTGCCCCTAAACAAAAATAACCAGAAGCAAACAATCACAAACAACACCAAAACTTTCTAAGAGACTGGCTTCTGCATCAGGAGCCAGGCAGAAAGCTGTAAGCAGCAGGGTACAGAAGGGAAGCCCCGCTGCACTTACGGGCGCCTTAAGTAACCCTAGAGTGTATTCTCTGAGGGGTTGCTGCTGCAGATCAAAGACACTGTGCTTTACTGCAAGCATGTGAAACCTCTCCTTTCCTGATCAAGGATGCTGTGGTTTTGATGACATTCAGTTGATAAGGTAGAGCTCGGTAGTTTCACAGAAAATCGGAAGTGTTTGTAGAAACAGATTCCTGTCTATGAAGAAGCCACAGTACAGGGTGTTAGATTTTAAATCCTGAACCTCATGAATGAGAACCTATGGAACATCATTCCCAAGCAGATTAGTGCAACAATATTGATGAGATTTTAAAACAAAAAGTTAGCATGAAAGGGAACTAAGTAAATCAAACAAACCTATCTCAACATTATTGAGAATCTATTATCCTTTTTCAAGTCAAATGGAAACACCTGAGCTAGTGTATCTAGGCAATCCAAGGGATCACATTACTTTAGTCCTTCAAAAATCCCCTTAAACATCCCACGCCATGGACTTGGGTTATCAAAATTCTTCTTCAATTCAAAATTCATCCCACACTAAAAGTTTTCAGCTTACCACTTGATCGAATGTTGATGAAGGGGTAGTTGGGCATCACCAGCTTGTTGAAATTAAACTTATAAGTAAACCTTTTCCCTTTTGTTTTATGAAGGATCCTCTTGTTGTAATAGTATCTGCAAAACCAGAACGTGTGTCAATTTATCTTGATATACCTAGGTAACCACTAAGACCAATAATTTTCGCATTAGGTGTACTTACAAACACCACTATCAGCATTCTTTTGCTGCCTTGCCCTTAGGCAAGCTTACTTTTCTCAATTTTCAACTAAACTCTAGACTTTGCCTAGAGCTTTACCAAGACAACCTCACTTTCAGTTCCTGAACACCTATCCTGCCCCAACCACCCTTCTTCTCCATCTCTCTACAATTTCAATTCATAGTCCACTTCCTTCCTGTTCTACTGTATGTTACTAACTGCCTACTTTCTTTCTGGCTTCCCCAGGTGGGGGCAGAGAGGTCTTCTGGGAGACTTGATGTGGCTAGTCAGGTGATCTAAACCCGAGGCAGAGACAGAGGAACACAGAGCTGTTTTCATGGTGGCTGGTCAAACAATGGCATCCTCTGATTTGGAAAACAGCAGCCAGCTGTACCTTCAATGACTCAAGGAGCCACGAGAGGCTTCAGTGAAGTGCCTACACAGATTGCATATTCAAGATCACCAAGACTGAAGAAAGGCAATGCACCGGGCACCTTCAGCCTCGCACCTACTCACCAGCATAGTTTATGATTGCCTTTTGGCCCTCAAGGGCTATACGGTTATGAAATGTAAAGGCAGACAAGAAGAGAGAACCTGAGAAAACTTAGAGTGATCAACCTCTAGAAGTGCTGGAGTAACTTGTGGACTGATCACTGAGCTTACACAGTTCCTGATGGTCAGGTCAGTACCTTTCAGCAGGCCCTCCTAGTCGGTCCACTGTTTTCTAGTTTCTTCCAGGGGAGCCCAAATACGAGAAAGTCTAATCAATTCTCAACAAGGAAATCTAAACTAATCCTTTAGATTATAAATAAGCTCCAACCACGTTTCACCACACACCCTCGCCCACTGCTGAGCAGAATCGGCTGTCTGTCAGGATCCACTGCCAGCCACATTGGGATTCCCTCCCACACAGAACCAAAGATATGCCTTTTCTCCTCTTGTGCCTGTGCTACTCAGATTCAACAGCTCCTCTACTCCCACTTGAAAGCTACACATTATTCACTAAGATAGTGTAGTCTCTTATCACCTGATACCTTTTTTTATCTAATGCACTCACCAAACTGCCTACTCTTCTTGCAATCTGTTAACAGCAGATTTGGGAATCCTTTTCCTTACCTGAGGGCCCGGCTCAGCTTGTCATAATTCATCTGTGGTTTGCATTTCCTGCGGCCCCAGAGGCGGGCCACCTCATCTGGGTCCTTGATGACAAACTCCCCGTACTCTCCCTGCTGCCAGGCGATGACATGGCGGAACTCTTCCTTCTGCAGCAGCTCCAGGATGAAGTGCCACAGCTGGATCTGCCGGGAGCCTGGGGATGACTCGGTTTTATAGGCCCAGTCCGGAAACTGATACCCTTTCATGTGAAGAGGGCAAGATCAAGGTAGTCAGGAGCAAGATCCACACATGCCAGCACCCCCACCTTCACATTCCTCGGCTCACAACCTCCAGAGTGCTTAGCAAACATGCCATCAACAGCCTGTCAGGCAGCGGAGCTGCCCACAACAGGGGAGAGTAAAGCACAGAGAAATGATCCATCCTTGTGATGATGGTTCCATCCAACAGGGCTGGCAGCGCCCAGGTATTTCATGAAATGTTCAAAGGATACAAACAGGAAAGAAAAACTAACGTTTTAGGAAAAGGAACCCAACTGCATCTCTCACAGGAAGGAGCCTTTAAAACCTGAGTAAGGGTGTGGCGAGCTGCTGTGTTAGTTACTCACTAAGGGAACACAAACCTACTACTGTCCCTGCTGCGTGCACCCAGACAAGAGGTCAGTCAGGGCAAAACATCTGTGAGCAGAGCCCAGGTGGAGAACAGGCACCACTGCAGGGCACCCAGGCACATCAGAGATCAACTTCTGCTCACCTCCACCTCCTTCTGGCTTTTCCACGATGCTACAGCCCGCTTTCATTTTCACCCTCCTGCAGAGAAACACAAGTCACACAGTCACTTCAAGATGCTACTCACCGTGTGTTCTCCACCTAAGCCTGGCAAAGCCTTTGCCCAAACTTCCTTTTCCCTGTCTTTCCTCCCTTTTGCAACTTTCTTTCAAGCATTTCACCTCCAAAGTGCTAATCCCCAAGTCATCAAATGATGGTCCTCAGGTCATCAGCCTCAAAAGCTGTAATTATCTCTCACCTGACTTTAAACCACAAAGTGTAAACACTGTATTTAATATTTGCTTTCCTTCTCTTGACCAAGCCTTCGAATGCCAAAAAAAAAAAAAGGAAGAAAAAAAAAGGAAAGGTACAGTGAAAACGGATCCAAAAAGGCAGCCAACACAAGGCAAACAGTTTGTCTTCTATTACTAGACAGGTCCAGATGCCAAGATACACAAGCCTGAGTTCACCCAGATGTACCAGTTTGAGGAAGGGTGAAAAGAGGCCCAACCTGTCTGATTCCCACTCAAGAATGAAGATCTGATTTATTTTACAGAACTATGTGAGATGGGAGAAGGAAAACTCCTCCCCATCAGAAACTATCCCCTCCCCCCTGAAAAATCCTCTGGGATACAGGAAGTAAACAGACTGTATGTACAGTTCCTCCCTATAAGAAACACACGCACACCCCCAAGTCTGTCTCAGCAATATTTCCTATTTCATTCTTTTAGTGGGAAGGGGAAAAGCGGCAGGCATTTCCGAGGCCCTCCAGGCCAACGAGTGGAAAGGGCACTGCTGCTTCGTGACTTCATTCCATCCAGATTTACGGTTCCTCAATGAACGTTCTGTTCCCGGCAGCAGCCAATTCTTCAGCAAAAGGTTGGGAGGGGGTGAAAACGCCCGAGGGAGAGCCGGGAGCTGGAGAAGGCACATCTCCCGGTGCTGTTCCCGGGGGGTGGCCCGGCCCTCCGCACCCACATTAGCAGAAGCCTGCAGGGAACACAGGTGCCTCGGTGGCCCCAGGGTGGGGTGAGGACAAACTCCTAATCTTGGAAACTTCATTAAACATAGGATTCCTCTAGATCCTTTTGAATGCTTTTTCTCACCGTCCGCATGAAGGTTTCAATGCACACAACAGCCAGGCCAAGGACAAGATAAATATTCCCAAAGGAAGAAGAAAACAAACACGACACAGACACACGCTATACAATAACAAGGCAACCAGGGTAGAGACAGGCGCTTCCTCTCCCATTTCCGTGACAATAAAGGAGGAAAAAAAAAAAAACATTTCCCCCATCGCTGCAGGAACCAGTCCCGAACTCCGAACTCCTACTGCTCCTTCGGATCGGCCGGGCCCTTCAACCGGCACGACCCTGGGGGAGTCCACACCGCCGGCAACCAGGACCTGACACTCCAGCTCGCCGATCCCTTCCAGAAAAGGTCCACCTCCAGAACCCGGGACGCGCCTCTGCCGGGCGTCCACACGTTCCCTGCGAGGACACCCGGTCCACGGAGAGCGTCTCGCCTCAACTCTGCAAACCCCAGCCGCCCACCCACCCACCCTCAGATCGTGACCGTCCGCTCCGAGAGCCAGGCGCGCAGAGCGCAGCGCTCGGCCATCCCGCAGCCGCTCCCGGGGAGCCCCCCTCACCTCCCCGACCCCGGTACTCGGGGTTCCGCGGAGCCACGGCGCGAACGCTGCCCTGTCGCCCCCTCGCTCCCCGCCCCCCGCGCCGGGTGAGGCCCGGCTGCCTTTGGCCCGCGGCCGGCCGTGACCCCGGCGACGTCGTCCCCGCCGGGCTCCGTAGGGGCCGGCCCCTCGAGGCCCGGCGCTGGCAGTGGCGGTGGCGGCGGCGGCAAGGCCGGGACTCACCGCTCCTCCCCGGCACGGTCCGTCTTGGGTCCGGTCTCCTCCGCGGCGTCTCCGGCTCCTCCTCATCCACCCCAGCAGGAAGTGACCTCCTCAAGCCGCTTTCGTCACTTCCATCCTCAGCAGGGAGGGCGGGGGAGGAGGCGGCGCTCTCCCTCCCTCGGCTCCCAGGCTCTCGGCGCCGCACCCAGCCGCGGCTCCGTCTCCTTTCTCCTCTCGGCAAACGCCGACTTCCGCCCGCACTCCGTACTCCGTACTCCGCCCTCGGCGCGCGTCCCGCGCCTCCGCCCCGGGGCGGTGCGTGCGTCACGTTGCGGGGGCACGTTACGCACGCTCGCGGCGGGCGGCCGGCGCAGGCTGGCCACGTTTGGGGGGTGCTGCCCTCGGAGCTGGGGTCGCTTCTGGTCCCTGACGGCGTCCGTGGACCCCAGGGGCTTCTCCTGCCGCGGGAGGCGACCACGCAGACCCCCGTCCGGCGCCCAGGTTCCCTCGCTGTGCCCAGAGGGCGCTTGGATGTCCCCAGCTCAGGGTCTGCGTCTTCCCAGAGAGCCGAGCTCCTCCAGTGGGGAAGGGACGACCGCAGGCTTGAGATTCAGTCCTCTAGCCTCCAAGACTGGGCCCTTTTACCGCGTGCACAAGGAACCGCGAAGCTATTCTGTGAAGCGAGTTGCTTCTGCGCAGCCCGTCAGTCCACACGTGAGGCTACCACCTCTTCCCCGCCTCTCTGCTTCTAGTCTTAATTCGACCCAGTCTAACCCGATCGCTAGTCCTTTCCCTAAGTCATTCAAACGCATCTTCTTTTCCCTGTTATTTTTTATCCTTCTGCTTTTGTCCCGAAGCTGTTAGATACTAAAGTGGTGCGCCTTTGTCTGCACCCCAACCCCTTAAATGTGAGCTCTGTCCAGGTTGAGGTTTGTTTTACAGGCACAAGAGGGAGGAGGGACCAGTCAAGGTTAAATAAGTTCAAGGATTGAGTGTAGCCGAGTTGAGGACGGGGGATGGCATTGGAGGAGAATTGAAGATCAATTATGGTTAAATGGATCGAAGTCTTGTCTTACACCATTGCCCCGAATAACACCCTATCCATCCTTCTGTCCTGATAGAGTGTAGAAATACCACTGGCAGTTGTGAGAAATTTGTGACTATTGCTGGAGATTCTTTTTTTTAAAGATTATTTTTATTTGAAAGGCAAGTTAGAGAAGGAGAGACAGAGATCTTCCCTCTGCTGCTTCATTCCCCAAGTGGCTGCAACAATCTGAGGTGGGCCAGTCCCAAGCTTGCAGCCAGGAGCATCCCTCCGGATCGGATCTCCCACATGAATGCAGGGGCCCAAGGACTTGAGCCATTTCCCACTGCTTGCCCAGGCACGTTAGCAAGGAGCTGGGACGGGAACTGGTGTCTATTTGGGATGCTCCTGCAGCAGCCAGAGCCTACCCTACCATGCCAAAGTGCAGGCCCCAATGTGAGGTCTTTCCAACTAGAGAATCCTGTGATGTAGGTGAATAATGTGCACAGTTTAAGCATTTGAGACAAGATTGCCAATATTTATGGTGAGTCTAGGAACTCGGTGTAGGAGCTGTCTTTGTATATCTTCCTGCCCTGGACCTAGAACAATGTCTTTCTTCAAATGCTGGATTTTTGAGCATTTCTTTAAAAAGGTAGGGCTTAGCTTAAGGATGGTGATTGTATTCAGGTCCTTGAACCTTCATCCACTGTCCTTGTAATCTTGTAAGTTGCTTGATAGGCCTGTCAGTTCCTCATTGGTATGAACTTAGCGCCTCTAGTTTACATACATGAGTAGGTTCTGTAGATATCTAGAAGTAAGTCGTTGTACAGTGGGTTCTGTGAGTAGCTCATTGTTGTTTAGTACCATAGGTGTCTCATTGTATTAGATGTGTGTGTTAATACATGTAGTGTTTAGAACAGAATAGCACATTGTCAGGACTGCAGATAAATGTTGGCAAAAATAATAATCCTAAAACTCATTGTCAAACCTCAAATTCTCCTCTGTGCCTATTGTTATCAATTCAAACTTGAGAAAATTTGGGAATAAGCAGCTTCCTCTGAAAGTCTGAAATTGCTACCTTTTGGCTAGTGGTCATGGTTAAAACCAGCATTGTCGACCGAGGTATCCTGTGTGCTACAAGGGGCAAGGAGCTACAGTATGGGAACTCTATTCTGCATCTATTTTTCACTCACACCCTAGTGGTTCTCTGTTGCTTCTCTGACTAATTAGGGTTACAAAGGATGACTTGAGTAAACACAATTAACAAGAGACAAGTAGATCTAGCCACCTGGCTAGAGCCTGGCTTGGTGTAATGAGAAATGTTTATATCCCAACAGAACTCTACAGAGTTTTTATATTAAAAATCTAGCCACTGACTTGCAACTAGGCGGGTGAATTTGGGCTGGAGAAAGCAAAACAGTGATTGCCTCACAGTGAGTGAGCTGGGATAAATGAAGTTTGTGCTCTAGGAACCTCTCTTGTGTGGTGGAGTCTGGGGAGTTCAGGTGTCTGGGGACTTCTTGCCCAGCATACACAAGATCCCTGTCCTCTCTCTGCTCCACTACTGCACTGCCGCTTTCTCCATCGGATGCAAACAGGCTCTCATAATTTGGGAAACTCTCTGTGTTCCTGAAATGGGAAGAGCGGGAGCCTTCTGGAAGTGTGGGGGGGGGGGGTGGAGGCGAGTACAGCCCTGGGGTCAGGCAGGGTGTAATCTCCTGGATTACGTTTGTTCAAAGCCACCATTGTCCACAAACACTGCTCTCCCGTGCCCTTCCCACCATCTTTGTAATTCTTTTAGATGTCTAGGAAAAGTTTCTGTTCTAAATCTCACTCTCATGGCAGCACAACTACTCCTCTGCTCCTGGAATTTAAGAAAAGGGAAAATTCCATACACTCCTTCCTTCATGGACTGACTGTGCGTTTCTCCCCTGCCTGGTGCTGCCTCATTACTCCCATTTTCATTTATGCACTTACATTTTTCACGTCCCAGACTGACCTGGGCTTGGATGTGATCTAAATGCTTTCAGCTCTTGTGGATCACTTTTCCTGTTCTACTGTCTGTCACGTGCATATTTGTTTTGTCAAATCTGTTTGTCTTAGATAGTGGGCCTTCAGGAGTTCCTGTCACAGCCAGTAAGTCCCCGCAGTACCCGCAGCAGTTTCATACCATCATTTGGAATGCCTCACGATAATCATTTCCTTTTCTACCATCATGTATGTTGTGCTGCTGCTAATCTTTTTAAAACAGATTATTTATTTATTTATTGTAAAGACACAGAGAGAGCACTTCCATCACGATTTGCACCCCCAAATGTCCACAGTAATGTGTGGGCCAGGCAGAAGCCAGGAGTAAGGAACTCTGTCTTGGTCTTCCACGTGGATAACAGAGACCTGGCTGCTGGGCATCCATTGCCTTCCCAGGTGCAGTAGCAGGATGCTCAATCAGAAGTGGAGAAACTCGGACTGGAGCCGACACACCTATAGGGAGTGCTGGCCTCGGAAGCGACAGCTCAACATGCTGCGTTACAACACTGGCCCCCTAAGACTCCCAGTAAAAAAATAGTCTCTTTCCTCCAGTGTTTGTCCTCATTGAACTTGGATCTAGAAGCTTGAGTTGGGCCCAGCACGATGGCTCAGTGGCTAAATCTTCCCTTTACAAGCAGCACCAGGATCCTATATGGGTGCCAGTTCATGTCCTAGCTGCTCCACTTCCCACCCAGCTTCCTGTTTGTGGTCTGGGAAAGCAATAGAGGATGGCCCAAAGCCATGGCACCCTGCACCTGCATCAGAGACCCAGAAGAAACTCCTGGCTCCTGGCCTCAGATCGTCTCAGCTCCAGCCATTGTGGCCACCTGGGGAGTGAACCAGCAGATGGAAGAGCTTTCTGTCTGTATCTTCTCTCAGTATATCTGCCTTTCCATTAAAAGTAAATAAATCTTTAGAAAAGAGAAGAAGACTTGAGTTTCAGTCCCAATTCTGCCGTAAATCTGCCTTTCCAATAAAAGTAAATCTTTAAAAAAGAGAAGAAGACTTGAGTTTCAGTCTCAATCCTGTCGTTCACTAGCCACGTTCTTCCACAGCTGGTGACGTCCTGAGCTCTAACCTCCACCCTGTGGTGTCACAGCTGCTGCGGTGTGCTTGTGACCTGTGAAACCCTTTATCCAGGTCAAGGATCATGAGGACTTCTATTACCTTCTGCTTTTTTTTTTTTTTACCCTCTGCTCTTAACACGGAAAACTCAACTTTCCTAGCAATATCACCTAGCTTTCACACAATTTGAATGCATTTCATGCTTTGAAATTGGGTAGCAATCTAATGACAACACATTTTATTCTAAGAGATAGGGCCCTTGAGTTTCTCATCTGGGCCCTATTTTATGGGACATGGCTTGTGAAGATGTATTTCAGTCACTCTCTGCCTTAGTTTCCTCAGCCATAAAATGGCAGGATAAGAATGCCCAGGAAGGGCCCGGCACCATGATCTAGCGCTGAAGTCCTCACCTTGAACGCGCTGGGATATGGGAACCGAGTCTAATCCTGGCGGCCCCGCTTCCCACCCAGCTCCTTGCTTGTGACCTGGGAAAGCAGTCGAGGACAGCCCAAAGCCTT